CCCCAAAACCCCAAAACCCCAAAACCCCGCATGAGGCGATTAATAAAGAAACCAAATAATTTAATTAAACATGGGAAGCTGAAATTGCACTAAGAAGTCACTGGAAGTAGAATTAGAAGTACCTCCACGCCCAAAGAGATTCCTCGAGAACAAATTTAGTCAAGATAAGGATTTAGGAAAAGACTTAGCCCCTGGACATTCATTGTTCTCTGATTATGATCCGAATGACCAGCTAAAGAAGACATTACAGGAGTTATATACTATTGTGAAAAGGTGTCAGATCATTCTTGAGGAGTACCAGTCATACCATTCTGGCTCGTATCCTCTCAGTCTGCACCAAATCTCTAGGCTAATCTGACAAATAGATTCTGCATTCAAAATGAACCAGTACTGGATATGGTTCATGTTGGAATATGAAGAAGATACAATAGTTGGGAATGCATTCAACCATCTCAGATCACAATTCTATTGACTACAATCAAAACTAATCCTTATAAGCGAGGCTTCAGAGGATCAACAAACAAATAAGATTACTCCAAAGGAGGGTCATAAGGAAATGGATGGGAAGCAAGGAAGAAAATTAAGTAAGATCCTAAAACACCTTGTCGTCAAAGTTCAAGAGTTATTACAAATTTTAGGAACCACATGATGTATTCTGAATTCTTTTATGTTTCCCTTTGCTTATGCTTCACATAACAGCCAACATTTATTCTGATCCGTCTAAGTTAGAGCTGACTGATTTAAGTTTTAGAAAATTTTTATATTTGAAATTTCTCTTTTTTTCTTGTGATAAGGTTTCAAACTACTCATATTTATAAAAGTGGACTTCTACTATATTCAAAAAGAATTTTTCATAATTTTGTTGAATAAAAGCACACAATTCATTCACTGTGCTCCATATCAGGCATTATCTTGAATTTCTCAAACTCCAAATACATTAATCCAAATATAGAAGCAACGAAATATCTAAATTTCAGTTGCTCGAATACCCGAAGAAGCCAAGAAAACTCTAGTTTAAACTTAACTCTAACTGTAGAGACTCTTTACAGGTTGAGCTGCAATGGGCTCAGTCAGAAAATTTATAAAGATTCATTTGAAAATCTTAATGATCTCGATTTTAGCTGATGGTTTGACTTTTGAGTCAAACCAGGAGAAGAACTCAGTGTGAATCATGGTAATCATAAAGGATCTACCTTCTCCAAAAAAGCCCTAAAAGTTGCTCTGCCCTGGTTCAAAGATGTCACTGTCGAGACTGATTTTAAATCCTTGAAATCATTCTATAAATTTGCAGCCCATTTGTCATCTTGCAACGGTGTTAAGCATCTGGAATTAGTAGCTTTAAACATAACGGAGATCGGCCTCTATTTACCCCAAATTGTTAAGACATGTGCTCGTGCTCAGAAGGGAGTCTGCCTTAGTAGGTTTAACTTCAATGAAACCCAATTTAAAAAGTTCCTCATGGGGTGTAGACACCATGAGGAAGTAGACTTTGCATGGTGCAAATTTGATATTCCAAGAGTGCCTGATTTGAGCACGTGAATGAAAGGAACACTTATTAAGAAAATTTGGCTTTGATTTTGAGATAAAAATTATGAGTTGAGCAAATATTCAAAAACGATGGAGAATTTGATAAAAGGAATTTCTGTCTGTGACCTTAAAGAGTCTCTTAGAGAAGTAGAGATTTTGGATTTCACAGAAAAAGGCTATTATAATTCGATCTTTGAGAAATATGGTCTTGGCCATGTTGTAAATAATAGTTCTTGGAGCGAAATTTAATTAATCAGGTTTAAAAATGAATTCAATAACGATACCTTCAACTGGGGTTTTGGGGTTTTGGGGTTTTGGGGG